TGTGCCCTTGTCTAGGAATCAAATCCCAGACCCTTTGGTCTGCTGCCAAATCTGTCAAAACCCTATTCTAAATTCTTGATCTCTCTGTTTGAATATTTTGAATATTTTTACCTCAGAAAGCATATGTTGTCTTTCACTTGGACCCCCTCCAGGTGTCTGGTTATTTTGGCTTGGGAAGCTCATATTCCCCTGGGGGTATCAGCTATTCTGCCTGGTAAGGGGTATTGGGAAAGGTCTGAAGGCCCACTTGATTCTCATGCAGTCCTGGTGAGTTCAAGGGAAGTGGAAGGAAGAGCCCTAGGACAGAGAGCATACAATTAATCACTCGCACCAAGCTATTTATTTTAGGGAGAAGCAGGAGGGGAGGAGGTAATTGACCTGTCCTAGGGTTTTGGAAAGAAGTAATAGGAGTGACTGCCAGGGTGATTCAATCACCTACTCATCAAATTCCTCTCCTAACAGGAATTTTCCACTACAGATTGATATTATCTCTAGAGGACTTTGATAATTACTTATTTTTATAAAAATGGAGTCACATCATTCTGCAATTTGCTTTTTTTTTATTCATCAATGTACATAAGTAGAACTCATTCTTTTTTATTTTATTTATTTTTTAATCTTTATTGTTGAATGTATTACAGATGTTCCTCATTTTCCGCCCATTGACCCCCTCATCCTCACTCCCACCCCCCTCATGCCTTTTCCCAAACTGTTGTCTGTGTCCATTGGTTATGCATATATGCATGTAAATTCTTTGGTTTATTTCTTCCCACCCCCCAAACTCCCCTTCCCTTGAGGTTTATCAGTCTAGCAACCAATTTGTTCTTCTTCTTTTTTATTTGGTCTATTAACACCAAAATCTACAAAAACAAAACAAAACAAAACAAAACAAAAAACCACAACAACTTCTAAACACAAGATAAGAAAACTTGAACATTAACATTTTTCTTCAATTTTGTGAAGCTCTGCTGTACAGACTATTTGTTCTTCTTAATTCCTTCACCTTTTTCACCCATTCCTCCAACCCCCCTTCCATCTGGCGACCAACAAAATGTTCTCTGTATCTATGAGAATGTTTCTGTTCTGCCTGTTCATTTTGTTTGTAGATTCCATTGTCGATAGATACGTATTCATTGCCATTTTGTTTGTTCATATATTTTATCTTTTTCTTCAAAAAGACCCTTCATCATTTCATATAATAATGGTGTGGTGGTGATGAACTCCTTTACCTTTTTCTTGTCTGGGAAAGTCTTTATATTGCCATCGATTCTAAATGACAGCTTTGCAGGATAGAGTAATCTTGCTTGTAGGTTCTTGCTTTTCATCACTCTGAATAGTTCTTGCCACTCACCTCTGGCCTGCAAAGTTGCTTTTGAGAAGTCAGCTGACAGTCTTATGGGAACTCCCTTGTAGGTAATTATCTGCTTTTCTCTTGCTGCGTTTAAGATTCTCTCTTTGTCTTGAACCTTTTGCATTTTGATGATGATGTGTCTTGGTGTGGGCCTCTTGGTGAGGGGGAGAGAGGGAGGGAGGGAGGGAAGGAGGGAGGGAGAGAGAGGGAGAGACAGACATCGACCAGGGCCAGGGCCAAACTGCAACCGAGGTACATGCCCTTAGCAGGAACCGAACCCGGGTCTCTCTGGACCGCAGGCCAACGGGTGAGCCAATTTCTTATAATAAACACACACACACACAGCTACAGATACATCTCATATTGGTTTTACTTCTAATTGGAGAACCCTAATATACCACTTTAATCCCATGATCACAGTTAACATCACCAGTAACTGACACAAACCCCTAAAGTGATATAGTAAAAATGCTACATTATTTATGTGATATACCTGCCAAAAGTGAATATCCTGGATCTAATCATGAGCAAACAACAGACAAACACAAACCGAGGGTCATTCTACAAAACAACGGGCCAGAACTCTTTTTTAAAAATGTCAGTACTGTATTATGAAAGACAAAAAGGAACGAGAATCGATTTCTGATCAAAGTATGAGACTTTTTCACCAAAGTATGAGCCTTTTTAGACAGAAACTGTTATTTTTAGCTCTGTATTACTCCTGGCACACAGCAGACAATCCAATGACCATGCCATTCCTTGGCTTTGCCTAGGATCTCCTCTGCCCCCTGGAACCTGATTTTGGGCTCTCTTGCGCTGAGCTGTCCCCTGCTGCTTGCCATTCTACAGCCAGCCCTACCACCAGGGTGCTCCCAGCTGGCCTTAGAGATTCTGCTTGCTGTCCCCACAAAGAGCCTCTTCTTCCTGGTGCCACACAGCCTGCACTGCCCTGCCCCATCCTGCAGGATGCTTTATACCTCCTGTAGAGCTGGAGCTGCTGGCCTGTCTCCCTCTATTTGCCTCAGCTAAGACAGCCTTTCCAGCAGGATCTCAGGGCTAGTCCAGCTTCCCAGCAAAGTTTGGCTTCTACCAGTGTGTTATCTAGTCTCTGACAGGAACACCATCTTCCTGGAATACTGTTGTACATCCAAGCTATTCTCAGAACCAAAGAGAAGGACCTCTTTTTCTATTTCCATGTGTTTGAGGCTCCCTATTGACAGTTCACTACAGCTTCATGTTTGGCCTGAGGGCCATATACAGCTCTTGGTTCTTTTGAAGAATGGGTAGAGCACAAAACCCCATGGGGAGGTGACCCTTAGCCTGGACTTTCGTGGAGCCTCAGAGCCTGGATTGGTCCTGCCTGGAGACCTGGAACACCTGGATGGCCCATCTGCCCACTCACCACCTGCTGTTTCTCCCCAAACCTGCAAGAGGGAAGCTCACTTAGAAAGTGGCTGAAGGTGGGTTCAGCAGAGAGGGAGGACAGGTGTCAATGGAAACATGGCTCAGATAGTGTGGAAAGAACGGGTAGAATGCAGCTGGAGCTCCCTATGGACTGGGTCATTGTGATGGTGTCTGTGGTTTCAGTGTCATCCTTGTGCCTTTCCACCCATGAAGTTCCTTGGGAAAAGACCAAGTGAAGGCCACCATGCTAAGTGGTTTGAGCAAAGAAAAATGTGATTAAGGGCTCAGGGGCTCAAGGAGGCAGGGGATCCCCTTGGGGGCAGAATGGTGGTGATGGTCACTGGAATCAGAAGAATAAAGTGGGGAGGCGTGAAAATTGAAAGCCCACTGCCCACCTGCTGCCCCTCACTCTCAGCTCTCCTCAAGTTATCTTTGCAGAATCTGAGCATGGTCTCTGCAAGAAAGCTAGCATAGGTGACCCCCTAACGTGGTCATTTTCTCAGGACTCCCAGACTTGTTGCCAGGCACTGGGGAGAGGTTTTACAGACTTCCCTAAACTTCTGCGGCCTAACACTTTCAAGTTGCAGGAAGATTTTGCCAATATAAAGGAACCTGTTTATAAGCAGAACTCTTTTCTCCTGCTGCAGTGTTGGGGTGGGGATCACTGCCACAATGGGGGTTAGTCGGCAGCCCCTAGAAGGTTCTGCCGGCTGGGAGGCCTCATTTCCAAGGCGGTGGGCAACTGAAGTACCGGGAGTTAAAGCCTGGCGGGGGTGGGGTGATCCTGCCCACCCTCCCCACCCCAGAAAAAAGTGGGGAGATGGTACTGCAGTGGTGAGAAAGCTGCCTGCTTCCTGGTGGGGGGAAGTCGCTGCAGTGACGGGGACCTCTGCTTGGAGTAATTGGTCATTGAAATGATCATACAAGCTGAAGATACCTGCAGGGCTGGGGGAAGGTTTCTGCAGTGAGGAAGGAGCACTTTGCAAAGGAAATGGGATGGCTTGTTGGGGTGTGGGGTCCAGCGTTGATAGGGAGCTTGGTTCGCTGCAGTGATGCCGGAGGGTCACTGCAGAGATGGAAAGCCTAGCTAGGGCTGGGGCGGGGTGGGGGCTGACATTGGGATAGTTGTGGTCGCTGTAATGCTAGGGGGCTGCAGACTGAGCAGCATTTGCAGGACGCCTCGCTTCCTGAAGGACAGAAAGGGTGGGGCCTCGGAAGCCTCAGTCTCGCATGGATGGGGGGCTGTGCGGCGGCGGGGACGCGGTCCCTGCACTGCAGTACCGGGTCTGGCTGGAATCGCCAGGGCTGGCGCGGAGGCGGTACGCACACGCAGCGGGAGGGGGCTGGGGGAGTAGGGAGCACCAGCCCCGCCGCAGCGGCAGGCGGAGCCGAGGCGGGCCAGAGGGGCGGCCTTTCCGAACAGGGGCGGGACCAGCACCCTCAGGGCCGACGCCCCTCGGCGGACTCAGAGCGGCCCCTGCGGGAGTCGAGAGCCGGAGCCCCGCAGGTGCCCTGACTGAGTGCGGCCCCGGGTGCAGAGGCGGAACCACAAACCTGGTCCCGTCGTAGCGCCCAGAACCCCGCAGAGGACGCGACGGTGAGGCTGGGACTGCCTGCGGGGAGGGGATGATCCCTAGACCCACCCAGCCCACAACATCCCCTGACAGCTAGGCTGTGGGGGGCGGCGGCGACGGCAGCTGCCGCCTCCCACTCCCAGATGAGCTCTGCCAGGGTGGGGAGAGGTGCCCTGGACCGACTCACCTTGCTCCTACACTTCTCCCGGCCTTGCCTCCGAAGACGCCCTCCGTTCGCTTCCCCACCGCGTTCTTCTCTGCCCCCCTTACCCCCCCCCCCCCCCCACACACACACACACTCTGGCCTGCAGTCTTTCTCCGCACTCAGGTCAGGTGAGGCGCTGGAGAGAGCACTGCAGCCCTTAGACTCCCCGCCCGCCCCTGCTGCACCTTGCCGGGCTGGGGGCGCCCAGGAAGATACTGGCCCTTTAAAACCTTGCTCCCCACCCAGAGCATCTTCCATCTCTCCACCCGCGCCACTTCCGACAGCTGGCAGCCGCGGGGAGCCCCGGGGGGCCGGCAGGTACGGGGCGGCGGTGAGGCTCGGGAGCGGGCGATGGAACAGCTGTGACACCCCCTCCCCTTCGCCCCTAGAGGAGCCAGCGGACGGACTGCTTGGCGCCCAGAGCGCCAGTTAATCATTAACCCTCCGCTCCCCGGGTCCCCGAGCTGCCCGGAGCTGCGCTCCACCCGGCTTCCCAGGTAACCGGCGAGGATGTGGGTCTCGCCATCCCCCTCCCCGCCTCCTTCCCGCCCTCTCTTTTTCACCTGTCGGCCGGCCGAGCCCCAGAGCAGCCTTGCGCCCCCTACAGGCCCCGGCCTCTTGCCTGAGTTAGAAAGCTCCCGCAGGCTTTCTCGAGCGCGGGTGGGTTGCCGTGGGCTCACCCTGCGAACTCCTTCACCGAGCACCCCTCCCGCAGGGCACCATGCCCGGCTTGTACTGCCCCTCCAGCTGGACGCCGCTGCCCCTCACCGACTCGTGGGTCCGGGCCTGCGCCAACGGACCCTGCCTCAGCCTGCGGGCCCGGCTCACTTACCACAACCCGCAGCCGCAGCCGGTGGACGGTGAGGCCGCAGGGGGCGCAGGGTGGTGGGGAGCCGGTGCCGGGCGAGATCCGACGCCGCCTGTGCCCCCCGCCCCAGGCGTGTTCGTGTACCCGCTGGCGGAGGCCGAGGTGGTGTCAGGCTTTGAGGCGGAGGCGGCCGGACGTCGCGTCTCTTTCCAGCTACAGAGTCGGCGTCGATCGCAGGCAGCTTGCTGCCGCGCCCTGGGTCCCGCGTTGGGGACCTCGACGCCCCGCCGCTGCGCGCAGGGTGAGTCCAAGGACCGGCTCCCCCCACCCCAAAGCCCGCGGAACTGCACGGACTCTGAGTCCCGCCCCTCCTCCTGCCCCATCCAGCCACTGATTTTTTTTTTTTCTTCATTGATTCATCTTTTATTCAACAGCTGTGGACTGGGCACCTGACATGCGCCAGGTGCGGAGGGACTGTGATTCAGACCTGACCCAAGGTTTTCAGCTAGGGAGAAGGACACAGCAGGCAGTCACACGTCTGTCCCCCTCTGGAGTATTAGTTCCTGAGCCTGGGACACGGTTTTTTTTTTGTTTGTTTTTTGTCTTTTCCAAGTCCCAGCATCTTAGGGGTTCAGCGCGTGCTGGAGGATGGAAGCCCACTCCTATGTTAGGTTTCATGGCTTGTGCTTCATTCTATTATTTACTTATTTGTACATTCATTTGATTTCTGTACATGGGATTTACCATTCGAGTGAGAAGAGGGACAGAATCCAGTGGTGTTGCCAGTTGGCATAAGCCCAGCAGGTAGTTAAGCCAGAGTGAGGAATGTTCCAGGTAGAAGTGGAGCCAGCATTTGACTGAAAGGAAGAAGGACATGGTGAAGTGGAGAGGAGGGGAAAGGCATCCCAGGCAGGGGCAATGGTGTAAGCAAAGGTTTGGAATTAAGTTGTATTGGGTGATGGTAATAAAATACCTCGTGTTTATAATGATTTACACTTGAGAAAGCCCAATCACTGGCATTACCTAAATTGCATTCATACCTGTCAGAATGCAATTGTTGTTCTCCTCCCTGTCATAGGTGATGAAAATTACAGCAATGATCTCTTATGTGTTGGATGCTTTGCATATATTATTTCATTTATTCCTCACAACGATCTTTGAGATATAGTTACTATGGCCCCCATTTTATGGATGAGAAAACTGAGGCCCCTCAAAACAAGAGTTACCAAAGGACAAAGTTAGAAGCCGCAGAGCCAAGACTCAAACTGTGCTTTCTCCATGGTAGCAGGCTGTCCCCGAAGCCTCAGCTGGTTGAGAAGGAAGCCCTTCCTTCTTACCCTCCATCTTGTTTCCCCTTTTATTCAGCATGCATTTCTCAAAAGAATGGATAGGGCTGTAACTGTAGGCTGGGGCCAGACCATGTACCTGTGGGTCGTGCCCTGGCCAATTTAGTTCAGCGGTTAGAGCATTGACCTGCAGTCCAGAGAGACCAGGGTACAGTTCTGGCTATGGGCATGCACCTCTGTTGGCAGTTTGTCCCCAGCCCTGGTTGGGCCCTGTGGGAGGCAGCCACTCGATGTGTTCCTTTCACCTTGATATTTCTCTCTCTCTCTCCCTCCCACTCTATCTGAACAAAAAAGGAAAAAATGTCTCAGGTGAGGATAAAAAAACAAACAAACAAGTAATCAACCTGTGGATCGTGACCCCTTTGGGGGGGTTGAACGACCCTTTCACAGGGGTCGCCTAAGACCATCGGAAAACACATATTTCCGATGGTCTTAGGAACCGAGACACCGCTCCTCTATCCATCTCCAGGTGGGTCTGCCCACGTGCAGACACGCCCACATCCAACATGAGGAACTGTATTAAAGGGTAGCAGCATTAGAAAGGTTGAGAACCACTGAAAGGCCTTGACTGCCACTGTATACACCTGGCCATTTCCCTCTTAGTCCCCAAATAAATCTATGATCTAAGTAAAATGCTTTACTTGGTATGTAAATACAGCTTTATATTCTTTGGCCAGCTTCCAAGATTACTGCTCCTAAACTCCTCTTGAGTAGAAAATTCTGAAGCCACTCCAAGTGGGCAGTAGGGAACTCCTTACTATTCATGAGCAAAGGATATCTGGTCCCAGACTACTGGAAATGTCAGTCCTCAAGGCATGGTCCTTTAAGAAGAAGAAGCCCAAGGGTTGAATAGATAGGGGCAGACAGGGGCAGAGGAACAGAACGTATGGGTCCTGACTCTTGGCATGGTGTGAACATGCCATGTTCTCCTCAGCCCTCCATTAGCAGTGTTGTCACTGTTCCTTTCCTAATGACAGCCAGATTCTTTTACCATCAGTCTACCTCTTTCTATTGTTATTCATCTCATGTCTCCATCCTGCATTACCAATGCACTAGCCCATTGTCTCTCCAACCCCACAAAGTACCCCTTGCCCAGGCTCCCCTGACTCAATATCTGCTCCCACCCTTATCTTCCCTCATGTCTTTTGCTTCCAGACCCCTCTGACCCCTTTTCTCACTCATCATAGGTCATCTTGTCTTGGATCTGGCCCAGGCCCGGTCCACACTGGTGTTGCCCACTGGCCTCATCACCCCGGCTGGCACCATGACAGTGACCCTGTGCAGCAGCCGGGAGCTGCCCTCAAGGCCTGATGGGGTGCTGTGCATGGCTCTGCCCTCCGTGCTCACCCCACTGGCCCCGCCAGGTCCACCAGGCCCCCCCAGACCTTCGGGGCTCTGTGACGACAGGTTGGGCCTATGGTGATTCTCTTCGTCCCTCCCTCGGCTTCTCTGGGTCTAGTGCGGGTGAGGGGGCTCTGGCAGGGTGCCCCTTGGGATGGGCTGGGTGGAAAAGGGTTGGGGCCAGTCAGCCAGAGGGGCTAGGGGCCTTGGTAATGGCCCAGTGAACCTCCTCATGCTCCCTTCCAGCCCTACCAGCTGCTTTGGGGTGGGCAGCCCTCAGGAGGAAGGTCTGGCCTGGGAAGAGCCAGCTGCCCCTCCGGACGTGTTTTTAGGCCCTGCCCGCTGCCCTGCCCCATACACCTTCTCCTTCGAGATGCTGGTGACTGGGCCATGCCTCCTGGCAGGTGGGTGCCCCTCCCAGCGAGGCTGACTGGGAAATCATTCAAGGCTTAGGGATGGGAGGAACACAGGACAGAAAGAAGGCAGGGACCTAAGACAGGAACCTCTAATCTCACAGTGGGAGCATCCTCTGGATACTACTATACAACACACCCCCCCCCCCTCAGTTTGTTAGTGTCATTTTTTACATACCACCCCACTCACCAATGGGAAAAGAGAGGCTTACAGTGAGACCAGTCTAAGTGATGAAGTGGAGTTTCCTTGTGCAAGAAGTGGGAGAGGATGCTAAATCATCAACCTGTTTGATTAGTCAGGAACAGATCTGAGAATCTGCCTCCCAGCTCATGAAAGCAGGCAAATCCCCCCTTGTCCATCTGAGCCTATGATCAGGCTCTGAGAGCTGAGCTGAATCAGTGTGATCCTTGTTCCCCCGACCCTCCATGGTCTGGGAAGGTGATGTTTATGCTCTTAGTGCTGACTTGGGGTGGGGTAATCATCACCCCTCTCTGCCTCTATGTCCCTCAGGCCTGGAGAGCCCCTCTCATGCTCTGCGGGCAGATGCCCCACCTCATGCCAGTTCTGCAGCCACCATCTGTGTCACACTGGCAGAGGGCCACCGTTGTGACCGGGCCTTGGAGATCCTTCTGCATCCTAGTGGTGAGAGAATGGGGCACACAGTGGGCCAGCTCTGACCAGCTTCAGGAACACCTGGGTAGCATTTTTCAAGTATAGATTTCTGGGCCCCTAGCCAGATGGACCCAGTCATCTGTGAGGGTGAGCCTGGTGGTGCAAGGAGGTTGGACCTACAGGATCCTCCCTGTACAGCAGGATGGGCAGTTGGGGTCCAGAGACAGGGACTTCCCTGACAGAGCTGTGTTCCCTCCTCCTCAGAACCCCACCAGCCGCACCTGACGCTGGAGGCCGGCAGCCTGAGTTCAGCAGAATATGAGGCCCGAGTGAGGGCCCGCCGGGATTTCCAGAGGCTACAGCGAAGAAACAGTGATGGGGACCGGCAGGTATAGCTGCCGGGGGCCTGACTTGGCCCCTGGTGTGGCTACATTTGTGCATGAGGAACAGGAGCGCAGATTCATGTTGGGATGAGTGGGGGGCCTCTGCTCTCAGTAAGACCTCTCAGTAGCTGCCACCACCATCCTAAAGGGCTGACGAGTGTTGTCACAGGAGGGCCCATACAGGCCTCCCTGGGATGTGTCTCAGAGAACGGGGGCTACGTCTGATGTAGGCAGATGACAGCCACCTGCCTCTGCTCTTGCTTTTATTCAAATGACTACAAAAAGATGACTCCTCTAGCCGGATTAGATAGAAAAAGGCCCCAGGGCTGAGTCCTGCTGCCAGCCCAGGTTGGAGTTAAACCAGGCCTGGCCCAGGGTGACTCTGAGCTCCCATATTCAGGTGTGGTTCCTGCAGCGCCGCTTCCACAAGGACATCCTGCTGAACCCTGTGCTGATGCTCAGCTTCTGCCCGGACCTGAGCTCCAAGCCTGGATACCTGGGCACAGCTACACGAGAGCTCCTCTTCCTGTTGGATGGCAGTGGTGTAGCACACAAGGCCTGTAGGGGGCACAGTGTGGGCAGGCCTGGGGCTTGGGTGGGACAGTGGGTCTGAGGTGGGCTGTGGTGTGCGCGCGCGTGCTCTCGCGCGGTGCTCTCTCTCTTTCTCTCTCTCTCTCTCTCATACTCACACAGACGTGTCTCTCCTAGATTCCAAGAGCCTCTCTCATACATAAAGTTGCATTCAGTCACACCTAACCCCAAAGCCAAGTGTCATATACACCTCCAGAGTCACATACACAGATGCCTCTCACGCATACTCAGAGGCTCCCTCACACTCCCAGTTCTTACTTACAGTCTTTCTCACACAGTCTGATATACATAGGGTCTCTCCCAGATCACCACCTCATCCAGGCCCTCATTTTACACACAACCTGGGGAAGGCAGGCGATCTGGTGTCCCTTGCTCTCTACCAGTGCCTGTGGGCCTGCCTCACACTGTGCTCCCTGCTCCTCCCCAGGATGCCATTGTTTTGGCCGTGAAGTCACTCCCGGCCCAGACTCTCATCAACCTGGCGGTGTTTGGCACAGCAGTGCAGCCCCTCTTCCCTGAGAGCAGGCTCTGCAGTGATGTGAGTGTTGTCCAGCAATGTGGGGGCCTAGTGGAGATGTTTCAGCTCAGCACGGCCCAGCCTGTGCCTTCTCTCTCCAGGACACTGTGAAGCTGATCTGTGAGAGTGTTGAGACCCTGCAGGCTGTGGGAGGTCCCCCAGATGTGCTGGCTGTGCTGGACTGGGCCGTGAGGCAGCCCCAGCACAGGGCCCACCCTCGGCAGCTGTTCCTGCTCACGGCTGCCTCACCCATGGCCATCACTACCCACCAAGCCCTGGAGCTCATGAGGTGGCACAGAGGGGCAGCCAGGTATGGGGTGGGCAGAGACAGGTGACTGAGATTGACCGTCTAAGAGGCTCCTGAAGGTCACAGCTGCTTCCCTCCCTTCACCAGGTGCTTCTCCTTTGGGCTAGGGCCTGCCTGCCACCAGCTGCTTCAGGGTCTGTCTGCCCTTAGCAGGGGCCAGGCCTACTTCCCGAGGCCTGGGGAGAGACTGCAGCCCATGGTGAGCTTGAGCCTGGGCCTGGGCCCTGTTCCCTACTCCTGGAAGTCTTTCTCCCAAGTTACTGAGTCTGAAACAGAATCCAGATTGGGATTCCTGGCTTCTCCCCAACTCCATTCCCTACTGTCCTTTGAGATATCAGTTGGGGAGGAGCTACAGGTGCTGCTGTGGGGTGCTTCAGGAGGCTAGAGGTGGGAGGGCACGGCCTCTGACCACCCCCAAATATTCTCAGTTGTGTCCCTTATCCTTGATAAGTCTTGCCTCATTCACATGGGACAGGTCAGGCAAGGAGACAGACCAACCCCTGAGGACTGCACTCAGTCCCTTTGCTTGTTCCTACCCCCATTCTTTCCCCTGACCCCAGCCTGATCCTGCTTCCCTGAGCCAGAGACTAGGCAGATGGCATCAGGGGAAGGGCAGCCGTTCCTCTCTGTGTACTATGTGGCACCTCTTTCTCTCCCATGGCCTCCCTCTGACCACTCCTCACAGCTGGTGCAGGCTCTGCGGAAGGCACTGGAGCCTGCTTTGAGCGACATCTCTGTGGACTGGTTTGTGCCGGATGCAGTGGAGGCACTGCTGACCCCCCGGGAGATCCCAGCACTCTACCCTGGGGACCAGCTGCTGGGTTACTGCTCACTCTTCAGGGTGGACAGCTTCCGGCCCCGCCCCCCTGGGGTAGGCCTGGGCTGGGGTGTGGGAGATGGGCCTGGGATGGCTGAAGCCCCTGCATCTCTTCCAAACCCTTCTTCCATTTCCTGTGTCTCTGCCAAACTCTCCTACTACCTCTAGGCCTCCTCAGAGATCACCTCCCCCAAGGTGACTGCAACCTGCCTCCTCCTGAGGTCTTCCACGGAGTTGTCCTGTAGAGTGTTCCCCTTGGCTTTTACCAAGGTCACTAAATCACACAGACACAGAACAGCTCTAGTATTTGCTGTGAGATTCTAGTCAAAACTTGCTCATTACTTCACACAGTGCCCTGCAGAAGGCACCACCCACTTACCTCTGGTAGCATTCAGGGATCGGTGCAGCACAGCCTATCAGTGGTTCTCAGCCTTCCTAATGCTGTGACCCTTTAATACAGTTCCTCATGTTGTATGTACCCACATACATGTGGACAGACCCGCCTGGAGACAGAAAGAAGAGCGGTCTAAAACCATCAGAAATATGTTTTCCGATGGTCTTAGGCAACCCCTGTGAAAGGGTCGTTGGACCCCCAAAGGGGTCGTGACCCACAGGTTGAGAACCACTGGCCTAGATGAAACCTCTGATCTCAGCTCTCCCAGGCATGAGTCATTTGATTCTGGGCAGTCACTTAACCTCTCTGAGACCATTTCCTCATACTGATTAATTTTTTTTGTTAATCCTCATCTGAGGATATGTTTTCCACTGATTTTTTTTTTTTTTAGATAGAGTAGAAGGGGAGGAAGGAAAGAAACATTGATGTGAGAGAGACACATCAACTGGTTGCCTCCCACACATGCCCCAACCAGGGCTGGGGATCAACCCTGCAACCCAGGTGTTTGCCCTTGACCAGTAATTGAACCCATGACCCTTCTGGCTGACACTCTAACTGCTGAGCCAAAGCAGCCAGGGCTCTTCATACTGATTTTTTTCATAGGATTGTTGTAATTAGAGGTCATAATGTATATGCTCTTGGTAGGATACTTGATACATAGGAGTTTGAGATATGATAGTTATTTTTATTATGAAAAGCTTTCTCTTTCTAGAAGAACTAAGCATGCTTCCTCCTTTTTGATCATGAGAGCTATATAATGGACTGTTTGCCTTTTGCCTGGTTGCCAGGAAGCGCAGGGCCAGACCTAAAGCTCAGCCACAGAAGCTCTATCAACCCTATGGTCAGTGTGGATGCTTCCTCCTTCCTTAGTACTGGGCTTTCATTTCTGGTTTATTAACTTTATTGCCTTTGCAGTTAGCCATCTTAAATCCTATTTGGAAAGAGGTAGTCTATAACTACAATCTGTTTTTTTCCCAATGACCACTCCTCTCTAGGGCCAAGCGCCTGGCTGGCAGAGCTTGGGCGGCTCTGTCTTCCCATCCCCAGAGGAAGTACCATCTGCCACCAGCCCTGGCACTGAGCCCACTGGCACCTCAGAGCCATTGGGAACAGGCACTATGCCGGGAGAGCTGTCCAGCCCATGGGCTGCTGGGGACTCAGAGCAGAGTGAGTGCTGGGTATATGTGCATGGCTGTGTTGGAGGAGTGGGCAGTGGGAGAGGCAGGCTGGGGTCCATTTTCCTGCTTCCATTAGGTGCTGATGCTCTGACAGACCCAGTCACAGACCCTGGACCCAACCCCTCTTCTGACACGGCCATATGGCGTCGCATCTTCCAGTCTTCATACATCCGGGAGCAGTATGTGCTCACCCACTGCTCTGCCAGCCCTGAGCCAGGCCCCGGCTCCACAGGCAGCAGTGAGTCCCCTGGCTCCCAGGGCCCTGGCTCCCCCGAGGGCAGTGTTCCCCTGGAACCCCCTTCTCAGCAGGGCTGCCGCAGCCTGGCGTGGGGAGAACCTGCAGGGTCCCGCTCCTGCCCACTGCCTCCACCCCCACTGGTGCAAGTCAAGGTGAGATTCAGTACACATTCATTTACCATATACCCAGCAAACATTTACTGCCCATGTGCTGTATGCCATACATTGTGCAGTGGCTACCGCGTAGTCTAGCTGAAGAGTTGGGTGGTACATCTATAAAGATGGTACCATGTAACATACAGTGATGGACACAGGGACATGTTGTTATGGGGACTAACCCTGTCTGAGGGAGTGAGGAAAGCAAGAGGCATTATCTGCAAGAATAAACAGAAGTGAGCCAGGCAGGGAGACATGACATGAACAGAAACAGACAAATAACAACCTTAAGTGAGAGACAGGGTGTAGAGTGAGATGACAGTGGAAAGGGGGCCAGAGGCCATGAGCCAGGCCTTTCTCCTAAGGGTGGTAAGCAGCCATTCAGGGCTTCAGACAGAGACATGTGGCCAGTTGTGTATGATGACCAGGAGCTCTGCATTCCTTGGCCAGAGGACCCCACTTTTTACATGTAGGCTGGGGCTTTGAGTGCTGAGGTGCTGAACCGTCAATGCAGGGCAGCTCTGGCTGGCCGAAGCCTCTCATCACCCCCAGGCCAGGTGAACCCAGTCCCTGGCCGTCCCCGGTACCCCTCCCTGGGTGCAGCAACAGATGGGCCAGGCCCTGAGTCAGGGCAGCAGCTGGGACAAGGCCTGGATGACTCAGGTAAGGGTTGGATGGAGAGTTGGATTCTGACACCAACGAGGCCTTGGGAAGGTGGAGCCCAGGGTACCACACTGCCCCTGTCCCTGCTATTGTTTCCTCAGGAAACCTGCTCTCCCCAGCCCCCATGGACTGGGACATGTTGATGGAACCACCCTTCTTGTTCACAGCTGTGCCCCCTGATGGGGAATCCACCCCCCCAGCAGTGCCACTGCCTCCCCAGGCTCCACGCTGCCATGTGGTGATCCGGGCCCTGTGTGGGGAGCAGCCTATGTGCTGGGAGGTGGGTGTTGGGCTCGAGACACTATGGGGGCCTGGGGATGATGGCTCACTGCCTCCATCACCCCATGAAAGAGAAGGTGTTTGGGACCAAGCACTCCATCGGCTGACAGCAGCTTCTGTGGTCCGGGACAATGAGCAACTGGCCCTCCGAGGGGCTGAGACCATGGCTGACTGGGGTGAGTTGCTGGTGGGCCCAATCAGGGTCCAGGGAGCCTGTACGGGGCAGAGTTTGATCACTCTCTATACCTTGCACACGAATAATTTGAGGTGGCTCACCCACGTTGACAAGGGGACAAAAATTAACCAGGGCAATGAGGGGAAAAACGGATAATAAAAGGGAGGGGAGAATGAGGTTTTATTAAAGATGTGCACCATGATAAGGCTATGTGCCTTTGCAAGCATGGGACTCAAAATTGGCAAGCTTCTTAGCAGTCAATAGAGGGAAACGAGATCTGGTAAGAACTTATAGTGACCATAACATAAAAACAAATGTCATTTAGGAAGACTATTAAAACCAAATAAAGTTAAAATTTCAGTTCTTCAGTTACACTAGCTATACTTTAAGTGCTTAATAGACACACATGACTAGTGGCTACCATATTGATTATGCAGATAAAGAACATTCCCATCATCACAGAAAGTTCTACTGGACAGTGTTGAAATGAGTGATGGAAAAGGCACCAGGCAGTGCTTCCTGAGTGGTGTCCAGAATGTTGAATTTCTGGGTGGCCAGGGGGCCTAGCCCTGCTATGGGTTGAAGGTTCAGTCTAAATACTTCTTGTCAAAGTTGGGGAATCCAAGCTGGTCCTGATCCTGAGAAACTCTACTCTGTTCAAAAGTGAGCAGAGAAGGTATGGGAACACTGAGAGTTTTTTCTATAAAGCCCTCTGTAGAGGGTGGAGGGTAGAGGATAGGGGTACACCCCTTCCTGTTCAGCAAACTGCTCCTTGGTTTCACAGGCCATGCCCGGAGGTCCTGGCTCCGAGCCCTTCAGACTAGCAAGGTCAGCTCTGCCCCCTCCTGCTTCACCTGCCCCATAGCTGTGGATGCTACCACTAGGGAGGTCCTGCCCTCAGCCCTGCAGGTGCGGAGCTCAGGTACAGTCCCTCCCCGGTAACCTCTCAGGTGCTGGTCCTCACCTCACTGGCCACCCTCCCAGACAAACCTCAGCCCCGTCTTCTGTGCCCCTGCAGAACCAGCTGAGCCCCCAGGCATCCTTCCTGCCTCTCAGGGCCATCCAGATGCAGCACCTCTGCCCACAGTTGTCCACTGTAAAGGTAATACTCAAATTTGGGGAAATGGTAAGGAGCACCAAGGCTTAGGGATCACCACTGGCACTGACTGGTTCCATTGCAGGCCTTCAGGGAGGCTCTCTGGCAGGTGGCTCGGACCTGGACCAAAATGACAATTCCAAGTCTGCTTTGGGGGACCCTGCAGCCCATACCGGAGGTCCTCATACCATGTCCCCCCAGCCTCCGCTGAGGCTCAGCCTGGGCTATCGGAAGGCCAGAGGCCCAGATAGTCATAGACTCTGCAGCCCTAACACAGACCAGGCCAATGATGGCAACAGTGAAGGCAGCAACCATGACTACCTCCCCTTGGTGAGGACTCGGGAGGTGGAGGGTGGCATTGCCAAGGCCAGGGCACTGTCTCAGTTCACTTCTCCCCCCACCTCCTCTCTCCTCAGGTGAGGCTGCAAGAGGCGCCAGGCTCCTTCCGCCTGGACGGGCCCTTCTGCACCGCGGTGCACATCCCACAGGAGCGCCTGTGCCGTGCCTCACCCTTTGCTGCACATCGTGCCAGCCTTAGCCCCACCTCAGCTTCATCTCCCTGGGCACTTCTGGGCCCTGGTGTCAGCCAGCGAGATAGTGCCACAGCTTCCTGCAGTCCATCCCCCAGCTCAGGCTCCGAGGGTCCAGGCCAGGTGGATAGTGGGCAAGGTTCAGACACTGAGGCCTCAGAGGGGGCAGAAGGGCCAAGCGGTGCTGACCTGCGGGGCCGGACCTGGGCCACAGCAGTGGCACTTGCGTGGCTGGAGCACCGCTGTGCCTCTGCCTTTGGCGAGTGGGAACTGGCAGCAGCTAAAGCCGACTGTTGGCTTCGAGCACAGCACTTGCCAGATGGCCTTGACCTGGCTGCTCTCAAGGCTGCAGCCCGGGGTCTCTTCCTGCTGCTGCGCCACTGGGACCAGAACTTGCAACTACACCTGCTATGTTATAGCCCAGCAAACATGTGAAGGCTGCCACAATGGGGCTGATGACCCCCAACAGACTTAAGTCACTGCCACCTGGGCCGGCTTCTCGGTGCTGGGAAGGGGTAGGTTGGTGACAGCCTGCCCCCCACTGCTTCTCATCCCCTTACCAGAATCCTCTTTCCCTTACAGAAAGTGCCTGCCTGTGCTCTCTCCCTCTCCTTCCACCCCCCTGCTCCTTCCCCTCTGAGCTCTGCACAGTGCAGTACAAGGGGAGAGAGCCACAGTCCCCAAATCCCATGCAATAAAGTGCCTCTTACAACTGCCTCAATGAGTTCTTTATCTGCCGTGTTGCATACCCTTCAAACCTGGTCCAGGCACTTCCATATAGGCTGCACAGAAGTGGACTTGGTAAGGTTTATTGGGAAGGGCACAGAGTCCATCCACGTCCAGGGTCCTGAGAATGGGAAGAGGTGGATCTCAGTGGGCTTTCTTGCTGTGCTGGATGCTCTTGGGGAAGGGCTGGGGGCCCAGCCAGAGCTGCAGCAGGATGACAGCATGGCACACATGTAGGGTGGCGGAGCTGCAGGATGTGGATGGGTATGTGTTCCAGGAGAGCTCAATGAGCCCCAGCACCAGCAACCTGGAGATGAGAAATAAACTCCAGGTTTTGTCCAGTTTCTAGGCCCCAGCCCCTCCACAGCGACAGCCTTGGGATGAGGAGCTCCCTAACCCTTACCCCTCCCCCAGGTTGTCCCAGCCAGTACCTGAGCAAGTGCGTGAGCCAGCGTGCAGGCGTGGCCCACAGGAGGTAGGGCAGTGTGTGGAAATACCAGACGTAGAACTGGTAGTGGAGGGAACGGCTGAAGCAGATGCCAATGAAATTGGAGGTGAAGAGGGTAGAAACAATCTGTATGCAGTGGTCAAGGCCAAGGGTAGGAGCAAAAGGGGTAAGGGGGTGGGATGGAGGCAGGCAGAGAGGTTCCAAAGCAGAAGGTAAAAGTTTTTGGGTCAGAGAGCCCCCTGGCTCTACCATTCCCAGATGCATATTTTTGGACAAGTTTCTTAACCTCTCTGGAACTGCTTCTCACTCTAAGATAGAGACAGTGATACCTAGGGCCGTAAGGCCTAGTGAGTCCATCACGTCCTAGTTGGGTGGGTGACCTTAGTAAATTATGTAACTTCTTAAAGCCCTAATTTTGCCATCTGTAAATGAAGATAATAAAAATGCCTCTCTATAGCAATCAAGGTCTCCTATGAGCTTTAAATGTTAGAATGTATGTAAATCTCTTAGCACAGCACCAGGCAGAGGATGAGCACTCATGATGGTAACTCAATAACATTTAAAATTAAGAATAAATATGCTTAAATATGTAAATGCTCAGCTCAGTGTTTGGTACAGAGTAGGAGCTCTAAGAATGGGCCCTGTAGCTATCACTATTGCCTCTTTCTCTCTGCCCCAGGTCACCAGCCACCCAGGGCTACCTGATCAGGGACCCTATCAGCACCTGGAGAGGGCAAGACTTACCTTTCCATGACTTAAAGGATATGATTGGGTGTGAGAGGTTGGGGTGGAACCTTCCTCTTGGAGGGATCCTTCAGCAGCGACAGGATACTTTCTCCTGTCCTGGGGAGAAGCCATTCAGACATTTATCAAGCTCCCATCATGGGCCAAGCCGTAAAACTCACCCCCACAAGCTCAACATCCCCACCAAACAGCCCCTAAGGCCCAGGCCCTTCACTCCTTCCCCTAACTCTGCTCATGGCATTGCTCCCCTTTCTTACCTGTGCCACCTGCAGAGAACAAAGAGCAAGAGCAGGGTGAGGTGGGTGGCCAACAGTACCAGGTGGAAGGCACGATGCAGGAAGAGGGTCTCAGGAAGGAAGCGCCAGTTCACTGTCCAGCGGAAGAGAAACTGGCGACCAAGGTCAAAGGAGCGGGATAGGTAACCGACAGGGTTCTCCAGCAGGAAGGGCAGGCCCAGCACCACCTGAGGATGGGTGTGATGTCAGCAGAGCTGCCCAGGCTCACTCTCAGCCTCTTACTAATCAGGAGAGTGGGAATAGGGTGTAAGTCTCAGAGGTTCCTCAATTCCCATCAAGTATAGCAAGAAAGTCAATCCCCACACCTGCCCCTGCCAGAGCCTGGGGCCAAAGAAGCTGAGGAGGCAGGTTATGACAGTGTTTATTGTTTGTTTGTTTGTTTTTTGTTTTTATCTTCACTCGAGGACATTTTTCCATTTTTCTGTTCAGATAGAGTGGGAGGGAGAGAGAGGTAGAGAGAGAGAGAGAGAGAGAGAGAGAGAGAGAGAAACATCGACGTGAAAGGGACACATCAAGTGGCTGCCACCCGCACGACCAACCAGGGCCAGGGACAAACTGCAACCGAGGTACGCGCCCTTAGCGGGAACCGAACCCGTGTCTCCCTGGACTGCAGGCCGACTCTAACCACTGAGCCAAACTGGCCAGGGCTATGACAGTGTTTTAAATCATAAATGAGCAGAGCTAGAAAGGCCCTAAGAGACCATCTAGTTTATCAACCTTATTTTACAGCTAAAGAAACCAAAGCCCAGAGAGACAGTCTCAAGGAGGGAAGGAGGCCAGACAGAGTGGCCTCCCCTTTTTCAAAAAGGGGAAAGGGTGAGGCAAGAGTACCTGTAGGACAGCACAGATGCCCAGCTTGGGGAGGGCCCCACGGAGGCCAAATTGTGTGAGGAGAAGGAACAGTAATCCAGGGGCGAAGAGGAGCACGTTCATCTTCACAGAGACTGCCAGGCTAGGGTGGGAAGAAGAAAGGAAGGGTGAAAATCAGCTTCAGGGCCATGCACCCCACCAAGATGCACCACCCCCACCCTTATAGCAACTCCCCCCCTCCACTACCAAGCTCCAGGACGGGGCCCACACTCAGAACTGCTGGAGGGAGGGTAAGGTAACCTGGGAGGAGGTTGGGGGTAGGGAGTAGATACCTAGGCTCTATGCCCAGACTGAGTGAGCAGCTATATACTGAGTATTGAAAATATTCGCCCTAGCCAGTTTGGCTCAGCAGTTAGAACATTGGCCCGCATACCGGAGAGTCCTGGGTTTGGTTCCTGCTAAGGGCACGTACCTCGGTTGCAGTTTGTCCCCGGCCCCGGTTGGGGTCGTGTGGGTGGCAACCAGTCAATGTGTCTCTCTCACATCGATGTTTCTCTCTCTTCCTCCCTCTCTCCCTCCTGCTCTATCTGAAGATAAATGCAAAGATGTCCTCGGATGAAGATAAAAAAGAAAAAGAAAATATTTAATGACCAACTACAGTAAAAGATGTTGTCTGGGAGGAGGAGAGAATGGGAAGAGTTGTGTGTGTGTTGGGTTAGAGTGGAGACTTCCTACAGATCCTGGACTCACCCAGTGGGGCCTGACTGACCCACATTGTCTGGCCACTCCTTTACTCCCTTTGCTGAAGAAAATTGAGAAGAAAGTGATGAAAATACAAAAAGTAAGAAAGGGGACTAGAAGGGATGGATGTTGACCTGAAACAGCAGCAGCCCCAGCCCCAGCGCTGGGCCAGCAAAAGGTTGATACTGAGGAACAGCAGTGCCATGGCCACTGGGTCATTGAAGAGCCGCAACACAAAGATGGAGTGGACACGGTAAGAGGCACAGCACATGAAGAAAAAGACGAAGGGAGGTACCTATGAGGTGGGCACAGTGGAAAAGAAAGTTAGCTCAATAATCCTGAGCCATCACCATACCTCAGCCCTCCCAGTTTGGGGACCCAGATCCTAGTATTGTGGACTTACCTTACAGGTCTGGTGGTAGATCAAAAAGACAAGCAGCAAGGTGGCCAGATAGAGCACAGCAAAGATATGTTGGGCCATGCGAATGTCAGTGCCATGGCCAGTGACGTAGTATAGCCCCATAAAGATGTATACAAAACCAGCTGGGTACCTGCAACATAAGAGGGAACAAGAGTCTGGGTCAGGCTACCCAGCCTGGTAGCCAGTCAGGCCCTCACATCCTCACTGAACCTACTATCCCAACTCACACAAGAGGTCCAGTGTCACCCTGCAGTTGGGTATAGTCATAGGTGCCGTTGATGACACCCTCTACCTCAGCCATGTAGGCCTTCCAGTCAATCTCTGTATCTGGAAAAGGAAAGGATGGTGTGGTTACTTCTAAGTCCAAAACCTGTCTGCCTCCAACACCTCCAGCCCATCAAAGCAGAGTTCCAGTTCATTCTCAAGGCTTCTATCACAAACCCTTACCTAACTGCCTACTTAACATTCTTTGGGTGAGCCTAGGTATCTCAAACTCAACATGTCTATAATTGAACTCACAATCGTCTATTCCAAATCTGCTCCCCTTCCTGGGTTCCATGAATGGCACCATCATTCTCCCAGTGGCCCAAGTCAAAAACCTGAAACTTTCTTTTCTCTCATGTCCAACCCCTAGTTACCATGTGCTGTCTATCCTTCACTCTACATATATCTACTATCTCATCCTTCTCTACTATTACATACCAAAATTTGGGCCTAACATAATCTCTAGCCTCAATGATGCAACAGCTTTCTAATTAGGCTCCCAGCTTCCACTTTTACTCCACCCTGCAACCAGGAGCTCTTCCTATAATAGAAATCATACCATGTCTTTTTGCTTAAAACCTTCAATGATTCCCAAAGGCTCTGAAAATAAAGACCAAACTCAATTACTCCCATTTTTAGAAAAGGAACCTATGAATTATTGAGGTTAAGTGACTAGCTCAAGACCAGTGAGCTAGGAAGAGTGGAGTTGAAATTGGAATTCACAGGATCCTAGATTCTTAACCACTACACTATCTCCTTCACACAGCTTACAGACTCTTTTATGACCTGGTCTCAACTTCTGCAATCTCATTTCTTAGTACCATCATCACTTGGGTTTTATGTTTCAGCTCTAAATACTTTTTCTTTATTGATTTTGGAAAGAGGAAGGGAGAGGTTCAGAGAGAGAATCATGGATGAGAACTGGCAGCCTCCTGCATGCCCCAGGCTGGGGATCTGGCCCACAACCTGGGAATCCAACCAGCAACCTCTTGGTGCATGGGTCCACGCTCAACCAGTGAGCCACACCATCCGGGATATGTTCCAGCTCTAAAAAGACCCCAGAATTGAACAGACGAGACCCAGCTGGGGAAATGACATGTCCAAAGCCACAGAGACAAGCAGCATCAGCGGTACATTAACTTGAACTCAGGTCTTCTAACTTCCAGGCTGATTTACTTTCTTAGCCAGGCAGGCTGTACCTTCAGGGTAGAGGGCCAACCTCTAGGGTCAGCCCCTTTCGTCATGGGGTAGGGATTAAGATCGGGTTTGGTTTTCTGTGGAGCAGGCTTGGAACTTGGGGTAAAAGATATGGGTCTGTAATTGATGACTAAGTGGACCTGGGGTCTGGGTTTGAGCTCCGAATCTGAGTCCCGGTTTGAGTAGAGGGTTCGGGTCCACCTCCCTCCCGCCTTCTCCGTTTCCCTCCCTTCCCCTCCCCCTCGGCGCACTCACATGCCACCCTGTGAATGACCCAGAAGGTGATGCCCACCTCTGCCAGGCAGAGGCAGGCAGCCACCAGCAGCGTGTAGCGCGGCTCCAGCAGCAGCAGGCGCCGCTCTTGCCAGGCGCGCCGCAGCCATTGCCCGCAGAATCCCGCCACCCGAGCTGCGGGTCCCGCCCGAGCGCGCTTCCGCACGCTCGCCGCCATCTTGACGGTGCGCCGCTCGTGTGGGCCCGCCACCCTGGAAGCCGGGCCCTTTGGCACTTACGTTCCGCTCCGCGCGCCGGTGTTATAACGCACTGAGCATTGACCCGAATTGCCGGAGTCCTTATTTACTACACTAAAATTTACTTCTACATCGGTCTCTATTGATGGGCTGCACGCTCCCTACGAGCAGGAATGGTCTTAATTCTCTCAGCACTTAGCCCTGGATACAGAGTAGCTAAGATGGGCCGAACATTTGTCCGTAAAAACAACATTCCTGACCGTCCCCCACCCCAGCCCAGCACAACACTTTGCCTGAGTTGAGAATATGTGTTCATGCCAGTCTTTCCTGGAGGGCAAGACCTGTGTCCGCGCTCCCCCCGCCACCCTTCAGAGCTTTCCGGGTGCTCAAAACTGGGAAGAAACAAATCTTTCATTAATTTTCATAGTTAATGGAAAGAGTCGGTCAAATTGAAAATATGAGAGGGGACAGTGATGAATCCGAGTGAATCTGACACTGTGAGTGTGGTACAGGCAGAAGAGTCAATCTGGACGACATAATTAGCCAGCCGGAAGATTCTTCAAAGCGCACTTAGCAGAGAACGGAAGTTCCACGTGTTTATGTTGAGCAACCGCATTTGGGGGCGGAGACACAAAGGCCACGCCCCCAATACATTCCACCATTCCGACTGGCTACACAGGGGGAACTAAGCCCCGCCTAAACGTGCTGGCAGACTGGCAGACAGTCTGGGTAGCCACAAACATGGCCTCTCCCAGGGCCCCTGAACCTCTGCCCGAGTTACCAGACCAGAACTGCGGGTACCGAGAGGTCCAGTACTGGGACCAGCGCTACCGGGGCGCGGCCGATTCTGCCCCCTACGAGTGGTTCGGGGACTTCTCCTCTTTCCGTGCCCTCCTAGAGCCGGAGCTGCGGCCCGAGGACCGTATCCTCGTGCTAGGTGGGTAGTCCTGTCGCTGCCCAACCCAGGTGGAGTTGACTGGACCGGCTCTGTCTTGGCCATTCCCATCCGCTTTTCTCGCGTCGGTCCGCTCCTCTCTGAGGTCGCCCGGTCAGGAGACAAGATTCAGTATCTTCAGAATCTGGACAGTATTTAGCCAGCCGAGTCAGTTCTTCCCGCTCCCCTCCACCACCACTGAGAAAGACAATCTCTGAGTCTGAGCGTTGGTGGGTGACCCAGGCCCCCAGCCCCTTCCAAAAGGCAGCCCGGAGCATTGGAGAGCTCAGAGGATCTAGTTTAAGGCCCAACGCTAGTTGGCTCTGTGACTTAGGACAAGTCGTAAACCCGTTCTGATCCTCGGAATCACTTCTAGAAATGGAACTGCGAGCTCAAGTCGGATAAAGCACTTGTAGGCACCTCGAGCACAATGCCTATTTTAAAGTGCCTAGGGGCACCGGGAGCTATTGTCACGTAGAGAGAGTTAGCTCTTCACTTTCCAAACTCTGAAAGTTGGTCCTATGCTCCGTTTGCTGTGAGGGTGAGGACAGCGCCCTCTGAGGTCAGAGGAGGTATTGTAGCCAAGATTGATGAGATTCCTCAAGAGATACAGGTACTAGGATTCAAGATGGGGCTCTGAGAGGTCCAGCTGTATTATCGGGTCCTGTCCCAGTGTCAGCCTTGGGGGCTCTAGAGAATTTTTTGATTGAGCAACAGGTTTCCTTCCAATTATAGTTTTTATTTTGGTATTTGTAAAAGCATGTGTATGTTTAAGTGAAATATTTCATATATATGAGATTCTAATACAATATATGAAAGGTGTAAACAATAAATCTAATATGTATTGTGTATACCATACTCAGTTTGAAAAAGAGAACATTCCTAGGACTAGAAAGGACGTATAACTTAGTGCATAAGAAGTTGGACCCTTGCCCTGGTGGTTTTGGCTCAGTGGTGAGAGCATCAGCCTGCAGACCAATGAGTCGCGGGTTCGATTCTGGTCAAGGGCACAAACCTGGGTTGCAGTTCCTCCCCGGCTCTGGTCGGGGTTATGAGTAAGGCAACCAGTTGATGTGTCCCTCTCATGTCATTGTGTCCCTCCCTTCCACTCTGTCTGAAGATTAAATGGAGAAATATCCTATGGTAAGGATATATATATATATATATATATATAGAGAGAGAGAGAGAGAGAGAGAGAGAGAACTTGGACCCTGGAGGCAGCTAATTCTGTTGGAATCTAGGCTCATGTAATCTTAGCTGTGGAATAATGGCCAAAATAATGGAGTTTTAGTGATGTAATCCTGGAAAAGATATTTAAATTTCTGTGCCTCCATTTTCTCATCCTTAAAAAAAAAAAAAGATCATTTATTTATTGGTTTTTAAGATCATTGAGTGAGTATGAAAGATACCTAAAACAATGCCCGGCAAAATAAAAAGGCCCATGTAGAGCCCTGCCAGTGTGGCTCAGTGGATTGAGTGTCTTCCCATGGCCTGAGAGGTCCTGGTTCCATTCCAGGTCAGGGCACATGGCCCCATTTTGGTTTCTGCTCAGTCCCCAGTAGGGGCCTGCAGGAGGCAGCCCATCGATGTATCTCTCTCATTGATGTTTCTATCTCTCTCTTTAAAAAATCAATTGAAAAAAATATATTTTTTATATATATTTTTAAAGACCCACGTTTATTCAGTTTTCTGTGTAGCCTTTCCAAACCCCTTCCCCCAAAAGTAAAAACTCTTGAATTTTTTGCCTTTAAACCATTGCATTTATTTTTTAAAATATGTTTTTATTGATTTTTTAGAGAGAGAGGAAGGGAGAGAGAGAGAGAGAAACATTGATGTGAAAGATAAACATCAATTGCCTGCCTCCTGCATGCCCCCTATTGGGGATCAAGCCTGCAACCTGGACACGAGCTCTGACCTAGAATCAAACCAGGACCTCTCAGTCCTTGGGAAGATGCTCAATCCAGCCAAGGTGAATCCCTTCCCCAGCAGAGGTAAAAACTCTTGAATTTTTTGCCTTTAAACCCTTACATTTACTTATAGATTTATCATAGATCTAAGTTTTTATTTTTTAATCCTCACCCGAGGACATTTTTCTATATTTTGTTCAGATAGAGTGGGAGGGAGAGAGAGAGAGAGAAACATCGACGTGAAAGGGACACATCGAGTGGTTGTCACCCGCTCGACCAAACCAGGCCAGGGACAAACTGCAACCAAGGTACGTGCCCTTAGTGGGAACCGAACCTGGGTCTCTCTGGACCCAGGCCGACGCTCTAACTGCTGAGCCAAACCGGCCAGGGCTGTTTTTAAAGTTTTAGTGTGCATCCAGATCACCTGGAAAGCTGGACCCCACCCTGAGATTATAATTCTGGGGGCAGTCTAAAGTGGGTCCTAGGAATCTGTAGTTTCAACAAGCCCAGAGCAGATTCTTATACTGGTAATTGGCAGAGTAACACTGCCTTAAAATCTCCTAGACTGAGCAGTATTCTTTTCTGGAGAGGGGAGAAAAGTCTAAAAATAAAAAAGGAAAACTTTCCAGACGTTATTCCCAAGATCTAAAAAGAGGACCCACAACTTGAGGAGTACCCTGTGTTACATTCCACTTCAACAAACAAGCTGAGCACCTGGTAGGTGCTAGTGAATGTGCTGGGTGGGCCTTTTCTAACTTATTTAATATTTATGAGAGGTGAGTAATAAGTCTTACTAGACTTACTCTAGATCAGGGGTCAGTACTATTTCTGAAAATGGCCAAATAGTAAATATTTTGGGCTTTGTGGGCTATACAGTTTCTGTCACAACTAGTCAGTATTGCTGTTGTAGTGGAAAAGCAGCCACCGATGAGCACATATGTGAATGAGAATAGCTGTGTTCTAATAAAACTTTATTCACCAAAACAGGCGGCAAGCTGAATTTGGTAACCCCTGCTCCAAGTCATTGTTTTAGGGTGGTTCCAGAAGCAAATCCTAAGATTAGGATTCATATCCCAGTCATTTGTTAGAGATGTGCTCCCAGCAGAAATTGATCAGAGAGTGAGGGAATGGGGAAGGGAAGAGGCCAAGCAAGATTGTGATCACAGGCGAAGTTTCCCTGAGGGTAGTTTCAGCCTGAAGAGTCACAGATGCAAACTGTCAGAAGCAAGCACACACCAAAACCTAGAGACACTCCAAGGGGACCTGGTCAGAGCACTGACTGTCCACTACTGTCATGCTGCAAGAAAGTGGTGAAGTAAGAGTGCAATCTGACTCCAGAGCTTCTATTTCTCCTGCTGTACCACATGAATGGGCATAGAGAGGCATCTAGAACTCTGTTAAAACTGGTAAAATGGCCCTGGCCGGTTTGGCTCAGCCATTAGAGCATCGGCTTTCGGTCCAGAGAGACCCGGGTTCGGTTCCCGCTAAAGGCACGTACCTCGGTTGTAGTTTGTCACCGGCCCTGGTTGGGTCGTGCGGGTGGCAGCCACTGGGTGGTTGTAGTTTGTCACCAGCCCTGGTTGGGTCGTGTGGGTGGCAGCCACTGGGTGTGTCCCTTTCACATCGATGTTTCTCCCTCTCTCTCTCTTTCTTCCTCTCTCTCCCTCCCACTCTATCTGAACAAAATATGGAAAAATGTCCTCGGGTGAGGATAAAAAAAAACTAGTAAAATGATTAAAGATGGAATGTCATGACTGAAGCTGAGTGGACCTCTTGAAAACTAGGAGACAGTTTTGCATAGTGGTTTAAGAGCTCTGGTTCTGACATGACACAGGCTTGGATCCAAATTGTAGCTCTACCACTGGATTATGTGACTTGGGAAAGTTCCTTATACACTTTGGGCAGCCTCAGTTTTCCCATCTAGAAAATGGTAATGATAATAAGTTATCTTCTATATGAAGATAATACAAAAATAAACTGAAGTAATGCTTAGAAATGCTTAGTATAGGACCCAGTGTTCAATGACTTAGCTATCATTATCATTATTATTAAAAATGGGAATCAGAGGGGCAGTTTATCACAGACTATTCAGAGAACAGAGAGTACTCTGCCTGAGGACTTATGTGTCTGGTCCCTATGGCTGGAATAATCTCA